GGCTTGATTTTATCTTTAATTCAGAGATTTAAAAAAATATAAAATTAGAAATATATTGTTATTTAATTTTTAAGAGAGAAAAAAAGAGAAAAATCATAATTCACATTTTGGAAAATTACGAGCAAAAAAAAAAAAAGAATATGGGTAAATAGTTGGATAGAGAAATAATCGAAGGTCGTTAGTATGCGTTTGAAATTTGGTACGGAAGCCTGTTGTCATTGCGTGACCGCACTCCGTTGAGTGCGTGACTTCGTCAAAGAGACAAAAGGGAAAATGAAAAAGAGAAAAAAGAAAAAAAAAAAAATGAAGGAAAAGAGAGAAAAAGAGAAAGAAGAAAAAAGAAAAGAAAAAAAAAAAAAAGAAGCTAATAGATAGGCATAGAACGAGAAAGCGTATACGGATCAATAGGACAGCCCAGCTGCAACTTTACCACGAAGAAACCACAGTGTAAGCTTCGTGTGTGTTTAATAACTATACCTATCCTAATTGGAGACACCCCAGTTAAAGGTATACTTCTTTTTTTTTTTTTTATTTTTATTTTTATTTTTCTTCTTTTTTTTTTCTTTTTATTTAAAATTTCAGTGATATTATACTCGAAATATTGTATATCTGTTAAAAAATTATTATTATTATTGTTGTCTTTTTAGGGTGTAATTATTTTCACAAGAACGAGTTTGTTTTTTATACTGTACGAATAATTTTCAAAGATTTGTATTAGAACGATTATGAACGTGTTTATAGATGATTTAATATTAATTAAAATACGATTGCTATAGTATTGTATTATTTATTAATATATTTTTTATTTCTTTTTCTTGTGTTCTCTATAGGAATAATCTTGATTGATGAATATTAATTGACGGTAAAAAGAATTTAAATGAGGTTCGTTTTGCAATTGGATTCTGAAAATGGATCGCGTATCTTTCATTAAATATTTTTTTAAACAATTTTCTTTTTTTTTTTTCTACATGCAGATCATAATCTATGAAAAATGAAGATAACATTTAAAATCATGATTAATACGAATATATATTTTAATTTAACATAATTACGAACGAGATATCTCTCTTTCAGTATGTTATTAAAAATTCAATATTTTACTTGACAAAATGATTTTGTATTATTAACAAATAGTAATTAATTTCAAATATCTGATTAATCTGAGTACGGTTAGAAAGAAAATATGTTAACGTATAAAAAGAAAAAAGAATAAAAAACCGTATCGAATAGATAAAATATTTCATAAATAATTGAAAAGAGAAAAAAAAAAGAAAATAAGATAAACGTGTTAAGTAGAGTTAATAAAGACGAATAATAATCGTGAGTGCATAGGATGCAAATGTTGCTATATCAAAATTCATGAAATAATAAAAAAAATAGAAAAAAAATAAGAAAATAAGATAAACGTGTTAAGTAGAGAATAAATAATAAAAAAAAGGAAAAAAAGAATAAGATAAACGTGTTAAATAGAATTAATAAAGACTAATAATAATCGTGAATGCATAGGATGCAAATGTTGCTATATCAAAATTCATGAAATAATAAAAAAAATAGAAAAAAAATAAGAAAATAAGATAAACGTGTTAAGTAGAGTTAATAAAGACCAATAATAATCGTGAATGCATAGTATGCAAAATGTTGATATACATCCACAAATTCATGAAATAATAATAATAAAAAAAAAGAAAGAAAGAAAAAAACATAAGATAAACGTGTTTAGGTAGAGTTAATAAAGACCGATAATAATCTAGGATGCATAGGATGCAAAATGTTGTTCCTACTAGATAAAACTATGACGTTTTCCATCTTTCATCCAGGTGGCCAATGGCACTCTTGGCACGCTCAGTTGCTCGTTGCGATTACGTTTTAACATACAACCAGTGTGTTTTCCATCTTCGAAGATTGCGCAACCAAAACTACCACCACCACCACCACCACCATCTTCACCACCACCTTCCTTCTTCTTCTTCTTCTTCCTCTCCTTCTTCTTATTCTTATTCTGTTTCACTTTAGCCACCAGCAAACACTTTGGATCGAGAATCCGAAGGTTGTTTTCTGCGAGCCACATTTTCGTACCGAGACATACTTTCCTTTTGTCGATCTCTTCTGGAACACGTCCAAGGTACCTTGACTCGTAAACCGCGTACCCAATTAGCTGTCTTCGATGAAGAAAAAAAAAAGAAAAAGAGAGAGATAGATAGGGAGAGAGGGGGTGGGTGACTTGTTCAATTTCGTGACGTTTAAGTTAGTTTCACCCATCTTTTTTCCGACAACCAACATCTTCCTCCCCCTTCCCCATTTCCTTTTTCTAACTCTAGCAGTATATTATTACACCTATCATGCTTGACGAGCCTTTGGTTCGACCTTGAAAACTAAAAAAAAAGAAGATCTTACGATACTTGAAAAAGTTTCTACGTCAAAATTATGGTTGACCCTTGAGAGATGTATTAACCATAGAATTACTAACTGGGGTAGATATCTAACCCAAGTAAACTTAAATTAAATGAATATTTGATCGTTTTTTCAATACTTTCATTGATTTCAATCGATTTTTCATCGAATAAACATTAGTCTAATTGAATTTGCTCTTTATCATTCTCTTTGGCATGAGAAAAAACCAAAAAAAATTTCATATACTTAAAAGTCTGATTATTGCTATCAGAACAGTTTTTAGGACTAAAAAACCATGGGGTAAATATATACTCCAGTTTGTAGTTTGAAGAATTAAACAATAAGTTTGTAATTTTAGGGTTAATTTAAGAAACAAATTTTAATTCTTAAATAAGAAAAAACGATATTTCAGGAAGAATGAAAATTTCGAGATTTAACGTCAAATGATCACGTTTTTTAATTTGTAAACAAAAATTCTGCTTGAAAAGGAATAAAATAAGGTATACTGTTCACTATCCAATTGGTCACACAATTTCATTCCATATGAAAGTATATATATATATTTAAAAAAAAAGAAAAATATTTCATTTTTGATTACGTTCATGGTAAGAATAAATATACACGAAATGTCGGTGTAGGTTTACTATTAAAACCCTTTGGGTATTTGCTTTTTTTTTTTTACCACGTTCTTTGAATATTGTATAACTCAAATGTAATCTTATATCCCTTTTTTAATTAAAGGGGTAAGGGTATCTTTAAACGTGAAAAGATTAAATATTAAATCATTAAGCCTTGGGGATGGGGGGGGGAGGTAGGAGTGTTGGTAGTAGATTAAGATTATGAAAAGAGCAGTTTGTTTTAAAGTAACCGTTTTGTTTCGAATATTAAATAACGAATCTTTTTATCTTATTTTTGTTTTTTTCTTGTTTTTTTCTTTTAAAAGCAAAAACGACATTGTTCCGTTGACTTGACTGTTCCGACATTTTGTCGTTCCGCGTATAAACTAGTACTGCAAAATATAATAATAATAATAAAAAAAAAAAAAAAAGAAAAATATCTTTTTGGCAACTCGCCAGATTCTTTATTAGCGAGTTTCAACGTTTTAACCGATCGAAGTTGGTTTCCCCTTTGGTTATATTATCATTCTGCGACTTTTAACACAATTTTATAATAAAACGTAAAAGTATTTAAATGGTCTCGACACATTCAATGTGTTAATAATATTAAATAATATATATATATTTTTTTTTTTATCCGTTTTAATTTTATGCAAACGAATAAACGATTTCTGATGGGTCAATTTTCGATTGGTTTTTTTAACATTTAACATATTTTGATTATTTTAACATATTATTAATTATTTATATCGTTCGACGCGTGGCAGAACAAAAAAATTCACACATTTTAAATATAACGTTATATAAAATATATTAACTTTAAATGTGAAATTACATTTATCTGTTTTTATTTTTTTTTTACAATATAAAACACGAATGATTGTTGCAAGCTTAACGAAAATATAAAAAAAATGWTTTGTAAAAAAGTRAAAATATTAGAATAAAATATATTAACTTTAAATGTGAAATTATATTTATCTTTTTACTTTTTTTTTCAATATAAAACACGAATGATTGTTGCAAGCTTAACGAAAATGTAAAAAAATGATTTGAAAAAAAAGTAAAAATATTAGAAACGTGATTCATTAAATTTTTCTATTGTCGAGATCATCCTGTTAAAATGATTTCGAATCGAACATTTTTAACGGGCACGTTAAACGTAATCGTTTGTTATTTATCGTTACCGCACGTTTACGATATATTCCCCCTTACATACTTCCCCACCCCTTCACCCCACCACACCACACCTTACCACGATTCCACGTTTATCTCTCTTTTTATTATTATTCTTTCTTTCTATCCTCTCGATAAACGACAATAAGAATGAAGGAAAAAATTCTGACGCGACGGGTAACCACAACGCGGATATAAATTTGTCGTCGGCCTTGACACGCATTTCGATAATAGTTGTCGCGCGTAGGAAAATAAAAATAAAAATAAAAAGAAGAAGAAGAAGAAGGAAAAAAAAAATAAATAGCTCAGAGAATAGAACGGGGAATAGGGGTGGGTGGTGGGGAGGGGTGTGAAGGAATCAAGGGAACGTTAGGAATAAGAAAAACGAACGACACGATTCGACATACGTTGAATTCTCTCTCATGAGGATTCTTAATCATCGTTAAAACCCGTTGGAATATTTTATATTTCAATATTATTATTATTATTATTATTATTATATATTTAAAACATAGATTGTAATATGAAAACAAAATAATATCGATTACACGAAAAGATATAATTATTATTAAATTATACTTGGATATATATATAAATCGGTTAGTATAAAATGTATGAGTACAAAAAAAATGTAATATAATAAAAAATAAGAATAAATCACATTGTTTCATTCTTAAAAAAAACTAGTTCTCAGAATGTTATTAGAAATAATGGGAAATTGATTGATTTGTGACAATAATAAATACTTGCTCTCTTCAGTGGGTATTAATATTTATATTATTTAATAAAAATTGATTATATTATTATTATTGTTTATAGGAACCAAATTCCTATGCAGCGAGGTGATAGCATTGATAAGGAGCGAGGTGGACGATATTTGTCTACAAATCATAAACTTCGAGGATCTGAGCACTCAGCCACCTCCCCAAGCTGCGATTCCACCACCCAGTCAAGCAAACAACAGGCTTGTAACGCGTTGTAAGTCAAATTTTATATATCATTTAATTACAATTATTTATTATATATAATTTAACTGTGTCTGTATATATAGATATATACACTAACTATACTTTATATACGAATTTAATTAATAACGATTAAGAATAATAAAAAAACGTACGATTTATTATCGATTATAATAATTGTTCATGAGTTTTGGAAACTAATTGTATGGGAAAACAAAATCAAGGATACGAATTAAACAAATCTAATTAAAAAAATATTCTAGAGAGTATAATTGAAAAAAATTAAATTAAAATTAAACAAAATGTAATATGTATTGTATGTGTGTATTATTATTTTTAATTTATCAGATTTGAGAGTAACAATATGTATGAAATAATGTTTACAAATGTTATCAGAATTAAATGTCAAGTTTTTTTGAACAAACTTAGAAATGTGATTAGGTTGATTGTGTTATTGAAGAGGTTTTAGAAGTTATCTTTTGGTTTCTCTAAAAGGTATCAAAAAACTTCTTTTTAATAGTAATCGCGTGGTATAACAGTCGACTGTCGTCCTCGTAACTGATCATTATTATTATGATCAAGAAATCGGGGTCAGGATTTAGCCGCATAATGAGTTTAACTGCGATCCTGCAAAAGTTATTATGCGAACGTTTACAATTCGCATGTTCTTTCGAACGAACTAACATAAGTCGATAGGCTAATAGAAATACACGTACGCACGCATGCACTAACGTACACGCATGCACACACTTTGCTAGTACATACAAGTATTTGACATATGTTAATTTTAGTATTTAAAGTAATTGCATAAGTGTTTTTTTGTTATTATTATTTAAAATCCAATCAACGATTATGAATTTCTAATTAATTGTTATTGCAACAATTAGGTATAGGCCATTGGCTATTAATTTTGTCATTATCCTTTTTTGATTGAATGATTCGAACGAGATGTGTGTGTGTGTATCGTTTCAATCGAAATATCGAAAATTAATTTTGATCCTGACCGTCGATAAACGTATTCTCTTTTAAATACGATATAACACGTAATTTTGTTCTACTTTTTTGTTAGTATCGCATGTATTGCCATCTTAATGTTAATAATATATTAAACCTGTTCAAAAAAACAATGTTAAATAATTCTGTAGATTTAAATTCATATTAGATATGACTATTCATGATACATCATAATGCATTCTTATTAATATTTAACATACACATAGAACATAATAAAACATATTAAGAAATCATAGATGATTCTAAATGATGTTTAAAGTATCTCTGTTCAAAAGACAATGTCAAACAATTCTAAAGATTTAAATTAATATGAGATATAAATTAAATCAACCAACTGAATTACATTTTGAACAATTAATGGTACATCAAAAAATGCATTCTTATTAATATTTAACATACACATAGAACATAGTCAAACATATTAAGAAATTATAAATGATTCTAAATAACGTTTAAAAGTATCTCTGTTAAAAAAAAAATATCAAACAAATCTAAAAATTTAAATTAATATGAGATATAAATTAAATCAACCAACTAAATTACAATTTGAACAATTAATGGTACATCAAAAAATGTATTCCTATTAATATTTAACATACACATAGGATCACGATATAAAAACATGTTCAGATATCATAGATAGATAGATAGATAGATATGCATTTCTAAAGATAAATAGATACACAGATACGTATATATAATATCGAATAATAGGAAAGGGACACGTCGTCAGCTTTTATATCTTCAGACTTGGTTTCGCTAAAACTATTTTTAGATAGTATGTCGGGTTTGTGAATGTGTGTGGCACGCCTAACGGTTAACCCTGACCCGATAATAAATGTTATGCCCTCGGATAGGAAACTATAGTCAATCTAACGTCGTCGTGTTGCCTCGACAAACTTCCCCCAACCCCTTTACCAACCCTCCTTACACACCCCACCTTCGTGTTCTTTTTCTTCTTCTTTCAACTTACCTCCTATTTAACCCCCTCCCCCATAACACATCGAGTGTGTTTAGACAACGCGATCAATCGATCGATCCTAATGTCTATTTCTTCCCCCCCACTACCCCCAATCCATTTTTTCACCCCCTATCCTAATCGATATCTTTTTTTTTTTTTCAACTCGATCGTAAGCGAATTCATTTCGTTGTTTGCATTTTGTTTTTTAAACATTACAATGAAATAAATGTTTAAATGTATATATTAATGATTGCAACGTATCTGACGATAGAATGATAGAACAAAAAAAATAAATTGTTAAATGTAAACTCGTATATGTGTGAGAGTATATATTAATAGAAAAATCATAAGAAAAAAGATAAGAAGGAAGGAAGGAAGGAAGGGGAGGATTGGATTGTTCAAGCGTAGAAAATTCATAACGCGAGAATGAATAATTCTCATTACGACCGTGATGTGTAATAAACGTGTCGTCTTATGTTACCGACAGTTAATATTTCATCTTAATCGAAAAACTTAAAATAATGTGTTGAGTATAATATATGTATATAAAAAGTAGACTGTAAGAAGGGTTTAAAGAAGAGAAAAAAAAAGAAAAAAAGGGTTAAAGAAAGATTTATCAATATAAGTTTTATAATAAAGGGGAGAAGAATTATAAAATGTGTATTAACCCTTGTTAATCGTTGTATCTTCTCTGTTTGCAGTATAGTTCGTGTTGTAAAAGGAATAAAAAAAAAAAAAAATATAAAAGAAAAATATGACATAGGGGGGTAGAATAAGATAAATCGTAGGTTAAAAAAAAACGTGGTATAGAAATACCGACACGGTTATATAGTCGACAGTCACGATTCATTTAAATTATGCAAAGAGATCATAGTACGGCAGAATCGAAAGTTTTCGAGTTACGATAATATAAAATACATATGTGTGTATGTGTGTGTGTGAGCACAGGCACACGTTTCAATATGTATTCTAATTATATAATTGATTTTATCGTAACAATAACGGCAATGCAGTTTCTACTAACTAGTAACATAATAGTAGAAACATAGTTGCATAGTAATCATAGCTCGTCCTTCCACTCGAAACTACGAGGATTGCATAGTGATCGATCCTTTTTAGTCCGAGGCGTCGCATCAAGGCGTCCAATAAACCTCGATCGATATCACATAGTATTATTTCCCTAGTTTTGCACCACACGTTGCAGCATGCTGTATTCTATACATAACATTTTTAATATATATATATAACATATACACATATATATATATTAGAGTTAAAATGTTTGAGTTTGACTACAAAGTTTCTTGGCAATATTAAAACATTCAAAATGTTATTTCGAAAATTAATTGTTATTTTTTTTTTTGCATTGTATTCATTTCCAAAATGTTTTTCTATTTGTTTTTTTAAAATAATATTTATCTACGATTATATAAATCCTATGAACGTTTCTATGGAAAAAAGTAATAGTGTAATATTTATTTTTTTGTTTGTTGTTTTCCTTTTGATATGTTAACTTAAATTCGATTAATAAATATTACAAATAAATTTATCTAATAATAATTTAACTTTGTTACGCGATAGAATGGTAAAGTGATTATATTGATAAGAAAAGAAAAGTAATAGAAAAAGATGAAAACAATAATAAAGTTGGACAAAGATATTTCGCGTACGGATAAAACTATTCGCAGATGTGTTGCAATAAACAAAAAAAAGAGAGAAAAAAAGACAAAAGTTAGTTTAGAAAATATGACGGTCACGAGATATAACATTTGTTATATATATATATACATATATATATTTTTGATTCATTGATCGCAATTATTGGAGGCGACGAGGCCATCTTTTTATCGGACAAGATAAAACCCTTTGGCGTTATCCCTTTAGCAAGGATATATCCCGTTGGGAACTATTTAGAAAGTAGCCAATCAATCCCCCACCTCCACCTTCCCCCTTTCCTTCCTTCCTTCCTTCTTTTCTTCCTCCCCCCCCCTTACCACCATCGCCACAAAGTTTCTCGATCGTTTAAACAACGCGATATCTTCGATAAATATTGGATAATAAAAAGTAACATCGAAGCTACTCTTATAAATGACGTTTTATTAAACGATCAATGTTTCTAATAACGTGTCGCGTGTATACTTACTATACTATACTTCAGATAATTGCCAATTGTTATTAGCGAATTTCTATCTTTTCATTTCTTTCATTAAATGTTACATAACACGACGTTATAAAAGTATTATATTATATTATTAAGAATTATTACACAGTTTTATTATTATTATTATTAATGTTTTTGTTTTGTTTTAATTGTTTAATCAATCATTTATTAAATACAGTTTAACATGTAAATCAAATACCGATATATATATATATATATGAGTTTTTATTTCGTTAAATTTGATTTTCGATTATCAAATGTAATTATATTTTATATAATTGTATTTATGTTCGTTATAAAATTTCGATGATACACCCTTTACATAATTATACACTTTTTTTTTTAAATAACAATTTCTTTTGGATATTACAAATATAATATGTGTCGTTTACTTACAACAGCAAAAATAACCAAAATAAATTCAATACAAATCCCATTAATATTTATTTTCTAAATTTTGTGGTTTATAATCGAATAAACAACAATAAAAAAAAAGAAATAAATTCGTTTTTATGTTGAATCGTCAAGTTAAAAAAAAAGAAACGTCATCGCGTTATTAGATAATTTTATCAACGCAAATTTACGAATTTAATTTATAAATTTAATTTCTTTCGTGTATTATATATATATATTATAATACATTTAGTCAACATATTATTTTTAAATCAAAAGGAATGAAGAGTTCACTGACTTATGTTTGGCTTGATATCAAACGTAAATTTGATTTTACTCTTTGCCAAACGTTTAGGTTCGTTCATTCGTAAGCAGATCTGACATATTCAGAATTTCGGGCCACGACGACTACGACGACGACATCGTTACATTTTCTCGCCTACGTAATAGATACCCCCCTTCACCCCCAAACTCTTCTATTTTCTACCCCTTTCCATCGTATTCGATAAACGGATAGGAGAATAACGGCAACAAATCAACGTTTAAATATATTTTTAAACGCTACGTTTTTAATCTAACAAAATATATTGCAATAATTAAGAAACAAACAAAAAAAGAAAACAAAAGAAAAATTTAAATCAAAAGTAATACCAAAAATAACACCAATCTAACTCTATTCGATTTAATTTGTGTTACGTACAGCATTAATCCACGTTAATTAAATATCATTTTTTAATAACTAAACGCGTTACAAAAGTTATTGTTTATTATTATATATACGTATATAATTATAATATTTAATGTTAAAGTTGTGTAAAATGATTTGATATAATGATTGAAAAGTTTCGAGTCTTACACCGAAACAACCACGGTTATAGAAGACTAACTTTTATTTATAACAAAAAAAAAAAAAATAGAAAATAAAATACATTTAATAAAAGTTGTTCTACGTTTAATGGTAAAAACTTTTCAAATCCCATTGACCAATATTAGAGACGAAAAAAAAAAACAAAGTATAAGAAAGTTTAAACGTTATTTAAAATATTTTGCGTAAAATAATTCTAAGTAACCTTTTTTTTTTGTTTTTCAATTAATTGTACAATTGGATAGAAAATTTCCAAAATTATTTCATAAATTGCAAAGGAAAAAAAGAAAGAAAGAAAAATAAGGAACAAACAATGAAAAATTTGTTATGAAATTGATTATTTGATGAACGTGGATTGGACTGTATTTGAAATTCGTTTTTACTAACAGTGACTAATTAAATTCAATGACGTTGACTCGAGCAGTCGACAGGGCAAGGGCATCCTTTCGAGCTGGGCTATCGAGAACCGGTGTCGTTGGTCCACCAAGGGTCAGAAATCGGCCAAGAACAACAAGCAACTTGCCTCATCGACTCGCAGATGGAACAATACTCGACGAGGACGCCTCTGAAAATTGGTAAGTCATTCATAAATCGATTTTTTTATTCATTCAATACTTGATTTATTTTCAAGCCTTCGCGTGGGTAAGCTCAAAACTTTTCAATACTATCTTTCTATGTGGTAGGATCAGAATTTTTCAAACTTTGTTTCTATGTGGTAGGATCAGAACTTTTCAACTTTGTTTTCTATGTAGTAGGGTTAGAATTTGTTAACTTTGTTTCTACGTAGTAGGTTTAGAATTTTTCAACTGTGTTTCTATGTGGTAGAGTCAAAATTTGTTAACTTTATTTCTATGTGGTAGGGTCAGAATTTTTCAAACTCTGTTTCCATGTGGTAGGGTCAAGACTTATCAATATTTCTGCAACCCTGACGCAACCCTAACGAATTAGAAGTAATTATTGCTTTATTAATATCAATTATAATTTTAATAATTTTACTCTTCTTATCAAATCCTAAATCTTTTCAAATAAATTTTAATATATTTCATAAATTATATTTTTGAATATTAATATCTACATTTTTAATATTAACTTGATTAGGAAGACAAGAAATTAAAACCCCATACATCGAATTAACACAATTTTACTCTATTCTTTATTTTATATATTTTTTAACAATCAATAAAATTAATAAATTTTGATTTCATATTTTATATAAAAAGTAATTTTGTAAAAATAGTTAATAAACTATAAAGCTTATATTTTGACTTTAAAGTTGTCCAAATCTAAAATATGTAATTGTTAGATAATTATTTTAATTATAAACGTGTTTAAATTTTAACAAAATTGTACAAATTTGGTATTCATCTTATCTCGATTATATATTTCTAATTTATTGAATACTTAGAAAATCCTAAGATATTTTAACATATTCCTTGTTTCTTCTCCGAAAAACTTGTTCGAATAATATAATTTTAATAACTAATTCGTTTATTGTGTCGTAGATTTATTTTCATGTATCCCTGGTGTATACGCAGAACGTGTGTTAGTCTATAAAATACTGTAGAAAAAAAAAAGTAAAGAAATAAAAAAAAAAAAATGAGAAAGAGAGAGAAATGTTGGAACATAAAACAAAAAGTAATCCAATTTTCTTAGACGATGCTCGAAAAACTTTTCTATCTTTCGTCTAATTTTTTTAACCTAACACTTCCCTCCCCACCCCCTTCCCCTATTCCCTATAATCGAATAAAATCGTTTCGAGAAATATTTCGCATTTTAAATGAAATCAATTCTCTATCGAAAATAATAATATCGTTTGTAATAATAATAATAATAATAATAATAATAATAATAATATAGTCACCCGTAAAATTAACAGACAAAAATTGATAGTAATCACTCGAATGATTTTTCTCCATTGTTGGTATAATAAAAAGAAAAAAAGAAAATCGGATGTAGAAAAATTGATAAGTTGCACACGCGTCCGAAGAAAATTGCGATTGAATTTCGTCTGGCGAATTGCGAATCCAGCTAAAGCAACCACTGAAAACTTAAACCGGTCGTACTAATATTTTCAAGAGAGCCCTAATTCTCCGTAAGAGAACGTGCCTAGATAAAATTTTCAAAAATAAAGATTTTTACACGAGGAACTATACTCGTACAATAGAAAAATACGTATTACGATATTTAACAAAATATCAAAAATGTAAAAAAGAAAAAATGAACGTTAACATTGTATAATTTTTTTGTTCTTCTCAATAATTCTTTTTTTCTTCTTCCTCTTCTTATCATTAAAATTTTAATTAATATCGAATCACGATCGAGATTCAATTTTTCTAATAAATACACATAAAACAAAAAAGTAAAACGAATTATATACAACATATTCGAATATTTTCTTTACCAATAAAAATAAAAAATCAAAACATATAATATCCCACACATGTTACATTTCTAGAGTATACGAATATACAATTACAGGATTGTTAAAAAGAAACAATCATGTCACCGTTGGTGTACTATCCAAGAAAAAAGAAACAAAATCAATTTCTAACATTATATTATATTTCTTAGAAAGAGAAAAACAAAACAAAATAAAAGCTACGAGAAATCAATAACATTTGAAACAATATTTGTATTTTACAATCATATAAAAAAACAATCGTTCTTCGATCGAGATATATATTTCTTTATTTTTGTGGGGTGGGGGTGGTGGTTATAGTCTTGCGTGACGTCCGACAAATTTTGATTCGTCAATTTGATAACTTTTTAAACTGACTAAAAATATTCTCTTCCTTTTTCTTTATTTGTCTGTCTGTCTGTCCATCCGTCAGTTGTGTCAGTTTCTCGTTTACAGTTAGTCGAACCTTTGTGTGTTCAACCCCCCGTTCCTCTAGCCACCCCCCCCACCCAATGCGAATTCTTCTCATTCGACGAAACTAATTTCCGTGGTACCGAATGCGATTGATCGATCGGATATTCTTCGTTTGTAGCAATTCCCGGATCCGTCCATTGTCCCGGAACGATTCCAATCGGACGACCAATCTAAACCACTGACCTCACCAAACTTCAACTCTATTCGCTTTTTCTATCTTAACTTTTATATTTCGGCGCGATTCTTAAACTTTCGTTGACGATCCTTTGATCCTTTCCTTTTTTTCATATTTCCTGTCACCTTTCTTTCTTTCTTCCTTTTTTTTTCTTTTGCATTTATTTTCTTTCCCTAACAATCTTACTCCTTTTTTATTTCTTTTACGTTGACAAAAAGAAATATTGCTTCGTGATATTTACTACTATTTTTATTATTCGATTTAACTTTATTTATATTTTTTTCTGTGTATGTGTGTGTGTGTACACCAAAAATATATATATAATATAATATAATAAAAAAAATTAATATATAATATAAATATATATTTGTGGTACTACACATAAATATATATATATATTAAA